AATAGAAGTTCAAGAAGAAATAGAAGAATCCACCATCAGAACTGGAGATCTCAACACCCTCTATCAAAAATGGACCAATATAACAGACAGAAAACCATAAAAGACATAGTTAAACTCAATAACATGATCTGGATATAATTGATATCTACAGACCACCTCTTTCAACAACACAATAGACATTCTTCTCAAACTCACATAAAAACAAAATCACCAAGACCACATTCAGAGCTATATAAGACACTCTGGCAAAACTAAAATAATAGAAATCATACAATATGTGCTTTCAGACCACAAAAGAAATAAATTAGAAATTGGTAACAGAGCCATAACTACAAGAACCCTAATAGAGTGGGATTAAACAACACACTCTACCACATGGGTTAAAAAAAAAAAAAAAACTGAAGAAAAATTTAAAATATTTTTAACTAAAAGTGAAAATGGGGCTGACCAGTTAGCTAACTTGGTTAGGCCACACCCTTGTAACACCAAGTTCAAGGATTTAAACTCCTGTACTGGCCAGCCAACAGGGAAATAAAAAAGTGAAAATGACACCAAAATTTGTAGGGTACAGAAATAACAGTGTTTTCAATAATTTTATGGCACAGAATGCATTAAAAAAAACCCAACAAACATCTAAAATCAACAACCTATGTTTCCACCTTTGGAAACTAGGGAGGAAACAGCTAATTAAATTGAACGGAAGTAGAAAAAAAGAAAAGTTAGAACAGAAATAAAACTGGAGAAAAAATAAACATCTGAAAAGCCAATTGTAGAGCTAGGACTGGAGCTCACAGACCTTTCAAGCCCATTGTCCAGACTGGGTAACAAACCCTTCACACGCAGGTCTATGAACTAGGTAACAAGAAAAGGTCCTTGGAGTCATTGGTGAAGANAAAGAAAGAAAGAAAGAAAGAAAATGGCTGTAGGAATGTGGGAGTTTTTCAAAGAATAAAATATACTTTTCTCTGCCCTAAAGATAGCTTCCTCCAAGCTTTTCATTTAACTTGACTTCCTCTGCTTCGCATAAAGCAGTACAACAAAGGAAACATCAGTTCTCCACCTTAGACACCCACTTCTGTTCTAAAATATGTTTCTGCATTCAAGGCTATTCCCGCCATCTTTGAAATATGTTATTTGGACTCCTTCTCAAATCAACTTATATTCCATTCCCAATTCCTGGTACATGGGCTACCAGTTGATAATTCATTTCTTCTGAAATCTTTTATTTTGTGCAGTAAAATTTTGTGAGTCTTCTATTCTCATAAAGAGTCTCCTGCACGTTTCTCATTTTGGTTTTTCTCTGAATGATTTCCACAAAGAAAACAGAAAAATGCTAACTTTGAACTCCACTCCCAATCTACAATCTTATCCTGTCAACATGGAACCCTTAGTTCACATGGTCTTGGCACCCATAATGTCCTGGCTTTCCTTCAAAGTCAAGGACCACCACTTTCCATTCTCCCATGCAGGGTTCTCCTCAGCTTCATGATTTTTGATGTGGTGGTACAAGGCTCACTGCTGAACCTCTTTTCCTGTTTTCTTAGTGAATTGCTATGAGATTCCCTGCACTACTTTTGGACTCTGGGAAGAGTCTCCATCACAACAAAGGCCCTCACCCTGTCCAACCCATTGAACTTGGAATGCTGAGCCTCCAGAACAAAGTTGTAAGAAAAAGTTTTCTTAATATAAATTACCCAGTTGCAGGTATTCTATCAGAAACAACAGAAAACAGATACAGTATGAAAAAAATGGACATGAGAATTGAAGACACGAACATAACTGAAAACGTTAAGAAAACAAATAAGGAAAATAAATGTCAAAGAAGAGAAATGCAGGAATTAGATTTGGGGTACATACAAAACAGATTCAGCAAAATAAAATATTGGGGTATACACAAGACACCCCACCTTGGAGATTATATAATACAAGATTGCAGATAAGCCATCTTTAAGTCTGGGACTTGGAGGAGAAATTGCTAAAAACAGCTGAACACTTCCAACATCTAATGGGCTTTACTTTTCTTGGCTTCTGCCCTGTATGTGCTGACAAATCTTGCTGGATCT